CGATCTGAATAATTCGGACTAACTTGTTTTAATCTGGGTACGACCGATTGTTTTGCTGTGTATGTTTTGGTGATGGATATTTGTGAGTTCAGTAATGAAACTCTGAAATTTTAGATCTACCTATGGCTAGTGAACTATACCTACTGAGATCAGTTTAGGAACGACTACTTGCTCTCAACCACTGCCTGCAGATCTACTACTGTTTCTCTGCTATTTGAGTGATCCTTACGATTTTTTTATTAGTTCAGGATAAGGCGATATCTTCTCTTATATGAACTAAAAAAAAGTTTATCATATACAGTCATGAATCATGATCATAAGGATTGTTTGTTGTTATGAGAAGCTGTTTGCAGTTTTGATTGTTCTATTCCTGCCAAGAGTGGGAGCTAGCCTTCTATTTGTGAGTTGTATGCATGCTTATGTCTGAAATTCTAGATATTTGTATCAAATGATGATACTGTATGAATGAAGTTGAGATCTAAAGCCTACTGTCACCATGTGACCGAAATATATTTATTCCTGTCTGGGGTTTATGGTTATTGATTAAGTGAAGATGTGGAATCTAGATGTAAGGGTGGAAGAATTGTCAAGTGTATTTTAACTTTAATATGCTTAACAACTGCCTTGGGTGTATTATGTTAGTACTATTGAGAATTTTATGAAGCCATGCTATCGGCTATTGCTTGTTATGGTACAAGACTTACTAAGAAAACAGAAATACTGAAATGAGCAAACAAGAAGATCCCAAGAGGCTTTGTTTTGTGGCAGCAACTTGAGTCTATTTCCTGGTGTGCTAGACTGTTTAACTCGAAAATTTGCAGAAACTCGTGCCATTACCGTATAATAACATGTCCTTCTGTTTTGCTTCTGCGTCCTTCTCACCAGGATATATGTCCGCCATACTTCCAAAAAAATTCCTGGTTCTACATGTCTAAAAATTTATATCTAGAAAGCTTATCTTGTGCAAAACCTACGTTATTCATGGTTCATTTTTTCTTTCTTATGCAGGGTATCTACCACTGAACCGTGAGTTAAAGTGCTTTCAGTTGATGCAAGAGGGTGTGCATACATCTTCATCTATGGCCTACTATTGATTGCTCTGCAGTGATCAGTTTGAAGTCTTCCTTCTTCCTCTTGCTACGGGAGAGGTGGAAGCAGATAAAGGCAGACAGGCAGCTCAGCCATTCCATGTCCAGGGACTTGGATTGTCCTGTTCAGACACAGATGGCTGTTGCAGTCCTGGATCGGAGTTTCAGCAGTGAATATCCTGCAAGTAGCAAAACTGAGGGGAGACCATTGAGCTGGAAGAGAGTTTTTGTTCAAACTGATAATGGTTCTGTCCTGGGCATTGAACTGGAGAGGGGAGAAAATGCACACTCTGTGAAAAAAAAGCTGCAGATAGCTTTGAATGTTTCCACAGAGGAGAGCTCACTGACCTTTGGTGATCTTGTTCTGAACAATGATCTCAGCAATGTCCGCAATGACTCGCCGTTGCTCCTCACAAGGAATCAGATGCACCGGAGCAGCTCAACACCTTGTCTCTCTCCTACTGGAAACGGCGTGCAACAGCGAGACCGTAGTGGACCCATTGCTATCCTTGGATGTTCAAGCCCTTCCCCTGAGATGAAACAGCTTGCTAAGGATATTGTCAAAGCCATAAGGAATGATGTTGACCCAGTAGCTGTTAACAGTGGGATGGGTGGTGCCTACTACTTTGATAACATTTGGGGTGAACATGTTGCAATTGTAAAGCCAACCGATGAGGAACCATTTGCTCCAAATAATCCTAAAGGCTTTGTAGGGAAGACCCTTGGACAGCCAGGTCTCAAAAGGTCTGTACGAGTTGGTGAGACAGGGTTCAGAGAGGTTGCTGCTTACCTCCTTGACCATGGCAACTTTGCAAAAGTTCCTCCAACCATGCTGGTCAAGATCACACACACTGTGTTCAATGTGAATGCCACTGTTGGCTGCAATCATAAGGTGTTCCACAACAATTCACAGCCCGTGAGCAAGATTGCATCATTGCAGCAGTTCATCCCTCATGATTTTGATGCCAGCGACCATGGGACATCAAGCTTCCCTGTATCTGCTGTGCACAGGATCGGCATTCTTGACATCAGAATCTTCAACACGGACAGGCATTCGGGCAATCTTCTGGTCAGGAAAGTTGGTCCTGGGTCTGACAACTTTGGAGTGCAGACCGAACTCATTCCTATCGACCATGGTCTTTGTCTGCCCGAATGTCTAGAGGACCCTTACTTTGAATGGATTCACTGGCCGCAAGCATCCATCCCTTTCTCTGAGGAGGAACTTGAATACATTGCAAATTTGGATCCTGTAAAAGATGCTGACATGCTGCGCATGGAGCTTCCCATGATCCGCAAGGCATGTCTGCGGGTGCTGGTGCTGTCAACAATATTTCTCAAGGAAGGTGCAGCATTTGGCCTCTGCTTGTCCGAAATAGGAGAGATGATGAGCAGGCAGTTTACTGGGAAAGAAGAAGAGCCAAGTGAGCTTGAGCTTCTTTGCATGGAGGCAAGGAAGTGGGTCGAGGACAGAGAGCTATTTCTTCCAGAAGCCGGAGTTGAAGACGACGATGATGACTTCACCCAGTTCTCTCTTGACGGCGAGGATGATTCAGATGCATTTGAATCACCCTCATTCAGCAGGTTTGGTCCCATGAAGGCAAGCCACAGGAATCCACTGTCAAAGCTAGCCGAGTGTGACGAGGAGGATGATGACAAGGAGATGGTCAAGGATGACTCTGACCCCTTGAACGGTATGTTTCCTAAGCTGGTCCCTCCTGTCTCAAAGCTGTCCGCGTCGCTGAAGGGGTTTGGTTTCCATGGGAAAGCTAAACCCTACCGCGGAGGCATTCCGAAGACGAAGAGCAAGGTGGCTGCTAAAACTAACTATAGTGGCGAAGGTAGTATGTATCAGTCTGGAAGCAGGAGCGCGAACGAGATGCTCCCTCCCAGCGCCAGTTTTGTGAAGCTGTCGGACATGGGCTCCGAGGAGTGGACCGCGTTCCTCGACAAGTTCCAGGAGCTCCTCCCGAGCGCCTTCCGAGCACGGAAGCACGCGGCTGGCGCCGGCCCGCGCCCACTGCAGAGGCTGGGAACTTCTTGCCAGTTTTGAAGGTAATGTAGATGCAACCCAGGTGTGCAGGTGTTTTCTTCGCGGCCGCCGGAACGGAAGCAGCCCTACGCGCCTGTAGGTGTGTGTTTGGACTACGGATCGTGGAGAGGAGAAGATTAGAGGTGGTTCGATAAAAATAAAGACCGTCCCCGTTGGCATTTGATCTTCCCCGCAGAGTGTGTCTTCGTGTCTGTGCATAGCTTTAGCTTTTGACATATGGAATGGTTTGTTCTTTCTTTCGTCTGTATATATACGAAGTACTCCTACTCCTACCTCGCAACGCCGGGCGCCATCACGGCCGGTGGTGCCCGGTGGTGGTCGTGTTGAGTGTTGTCGGCGCCGCCGCTGTTTCGGCTTCGCCACTGTACCATTTCCGAGACGCTTACCATAATAATAATATAGTATTATGAATATGCACCTGGATGTTGCCACGCATGTGCACGTATATATATCTAATTATCTATCATCTGTTTATGTGTCTACTTCTCTGCTTTGGCGCTTTTGATGCGTGAGTTGTTGAGAGAACATGGGATAGTATGTTGATGTGATACAAGCGAATGATCTGGAGCTTGGTTCGGGTGGTGTCAAAAGGGCCCTCCATGTGCCGTAGAAACTCGCGGGTTGGCTCCGCTGGTTCCACCGTCAGTGCGGACTGACGACTTCCCTGCAGTGTCCAGATGACCAGATGTCGACATGTCTGGTAACGGAAGCACAGATCTATTGACCCCGCCCTCTGCCCGCGACGTATGCACCTGGGAGGTTTGGACTGGACCCTGGGGAGTGTCGTCAGTCTGGTGTTTTCTACACCTGAAGTGACTTCTCCGAGCCCTTCTTTTGCCGTCAGGTTAGGTGGCCGGTCCGCATCACACGCCAGAGTGAGACCATCGTCCTCAGTGGAGGTCCCTTTCCTGCATCTGGACTGTGAACTACAGATGAAAACTGCACCGAAGAAGTCCAAGCCCATCACGTATTAGTAGATCAGAAAACTTCAAGCGAGGACGGTCGTGGGTGCAGTCGTGCAGAAGACGACGTCCGTCGCTCGGTCCAGGTGCAGGATAACAGCAACAGGTGTCTCGGCGTCTCGCTCTCACCGCCCTGATGTGGCTGCCTCCCAATGCTTCGCCGCCGCGCCGTGCGACCGTGAACTCTGATCGTCAAGCTCCTCTATTATTGGCCGGCCCTGTCGTTATCACGGCGCGGCGGCGGCATGGGGAGTTTGCGTGGTCCAGTTCGCCACGGCTGCCATTGGCCGGCCGAGAGCGCGGATGCGGGCACGCAGGCTGGCTGCTACGGCAAGGCAAGGCAGGCAGGCACTTTTCATTGGGTCTGGAAGGATCTGAGCCCTGAGATGGAAGCAACTATGATGATCGGGGCTCTGAGACGTGTAACGGCTACGATGGGCTGACCACCTTGGTCTCAACTCTGAACCCGCAAAGCATTTCTTTACGGCGAGGAGAGGACATACTGCTTGCCACAGCCACATGCTGAAAATCATGAGCTCTGTTTTCTGCAGCTTCAGAGATGAAGCTGCTGACAGACGGATTACAGGCGCCACTACCCCTCCAAGCACGGCGCAACCAAAACTGCCCATCCAACTCACCTCGATCGATCAGTTCCATTGATCGGTCGAAGTTCAGAAATGGGCTCCACGTGCGGCCCGGAGGGTCCCTCCCTACCTAGCCAAGCTAACCATGTGCTAGCTAGCCTAACGCTATCTGTATCTATGTCGTTAGGAGCCGCATCTTCTCGCTTGTGTGGACCGGCAGCTAGCTAGGGCCTCTTCTCCATGAGCTCATCCAACGGAGCGTCGTTGTTGATGGGCCGCCGGCTGTGGACGTCCACGGAGACGGAGTAGTCCATCCTCAGCACGTCGGACGCCATGGCGGCCGCGTCGCCGCCGTGGTGACGATGTCGATGGCCGCTTGCTCCCTGAAGCATGGGCCGAGCAGCTGGCCTCTTGCTCCGTTTACCCTGGAAATGAAACCGCAGCCGTCAGCACATGGCAGGAACTGAAGTTGTGTGTCGACTGTGATGTGGCCAGTGTGACGTGCAAATAATGCCTGTAATGCTGAATCATGTAAAGCGTGCGGCTGCTGAACTTGCCTCATCATGTACAAATTCAGCAGACGCCTGATCTGCTTCTTGACTTGCTCCTGCAACAACAGAAATGGCACGTATCAGCCCATCATTCAGGGTCCAGTGGTTTGCTGCCAGACAAAATAAAATCAGTACAGCTAATTGATTGCCCTTCTCTACGCGACCCATTTGCAGCACACTAATTACAGGCTCAAGTTTGGGTGATGGGGTGGTAGATTTGACAAGAATCTCTACAGTACAAGCAAAGAGCACTAGCTTATTTAACAGACGCGGAGCACTGCACTACCACTATAATTTTACTTCATGATTAAAAACAGAGCTACTACTACTGTACCACTAGCAGTAATCATCAATCAGTGGCAAGAAGCAAGAAGAAGCCTTTGCCTTTTGCCGCGCCTCAGTTATTCTTCGGCGGATGAACCCTGGGAGTGCGGTAATCGGAATGGAGCGGCACTTGGCCGTCAAACTCGCGCCTGCCGCCGCCACTCCTCCTTGGCCCGGCGCTCTCACCGCCTAACCCGACAACGGTAACCTCTACGCTTTTCTTCCCTCCGCGGGCACGGGCAGGGTTTGCACCTGTGTTGCTGGCGCCCACGGCCTCATCCCTCCCCGCTGCTCCATGCCCTCGGGCCGCCATTGCCCTCCGTCCTCTCAGGTGCCATCTCCGGCCGGTCAAGGGCACCGCGTTGTCGCCCGAGCTCTCCTGCATTTTCACGATCGAGAAGCAAGATATCAGCACTCCTCCGCCATTGCTGGCACTGCCACTTGCACGCAGTGTGAGTGTACCGTGAAGGCGTGAACAAGAAGTTACTGCGAAATTGTTTACCGACCTTGTTGTGTGCTTCGGCGGTGGAGGCAGACAGGGAGAGCAGAAGCAGCAGGAGAAGAAGGCTCCCTGCGCGCCTCATGGTCTCCTCTACTTGGCAACAAGGAGCTACCTGCTGGCACCTCTGAGCCGGACGAGCAGAGGGGAAAGGAGAGGTTTAGGTGACAGTGCAGGGGTTTTATATACCAAGGAGGCAGATTAGATCCATCCACGCCACACCGATCAGCTCAGCTCAGCTCCACCGCACACAGCTAGCGATGCTGGTCAAAGGGAGCTGCTGCATATTCAAACCCGGCACCGTCTGACGCGCCCAATATCAAACTGCTGCTGTGTGCGCTTTCCCGTTTCTTAATCCGCGGCCTGTCGCCCGCGCGCGCGCGCAGGCACCGATGCCCTGGTCCCGGCCATGGAGGACGTAGTACAGTACAGAGAACCTCGGGCGATCTCCGGTGCGCGCACGCACGCACGCACCGGCCATGCAGACAGGGGAGGGGGGTACGTGCCTCCCCCGCCGCCTCGGCGCGGCCGACGCGGGCGGAATTGGAAGGCGGGGGGCTTGTTCTTTTCTGTCCCTGGGAATGCGCCGCCATGCGCGCGCGCGCGCCACGGCGAGGCGTGCTTCTGCGGTGCTGGTGGTGGTGTCCTCGGATCGAAGGAGCTTGCGTGCGTGCGTGCGTGGGGTGTGGGTGGGAAAACAATCGTGCGTGGGATCCGGCTCCCCATGGTGCTGTTTTGGTGCTTGTAGGGAGATCGCTAGCTGCGGTATCGGATTCCTTCGAATCAGACGTCTCGCGTGCTACTAGGCACCCAACGTACGTTCGCATTCAGTAGTTTCAGCGATAGAGTGTAAAAAAAATATAAAAGCATTTAGATCACATCTGTGAAGTACGTGTCCATGGACAGTGACCGTCCGGTCTTCAAATGACCCATCCACAATTCCTTAATTTTGGAACATCAAATACATGCAAACACTTGCATGTCGATCATCGCGGCCAAACAATGGATGTTGCATAAAAATACAATACTTAAGAATACATAATCGAAACAGTGCAAAGATGAGAATGGCTCTAGTGCATAATTGTAAAATCAAAAGCAAAGTTTGCTCATTTTTAGCGTGGATGATCCACACATACTCAGAAAATCATTTAGAAGTTGCATATGCATCTGTTGATATTGTTGTTGTCGATGCATCTTTAGAAAGTTGGCAATATACTTCGCCTCTTGTTCCGGGAGGCGGACCTGAACACCGGGATTCTCAAAATCATGTGTGCGGGCTATCCCTTCACCCTCATCCTCCACAATCATGTTGTGCATTATTATGTAACATGTCATGAGTTGCCAAAGTGTCTCTGCTTCGCACATCATTGTAGCTCCACAAACAACCCCAACGAGCTTGGGCACTCCAGATGCCCTTTCCACATCCTTCCTAGTTGTCTCTTGTGTTGTTGCAAAGTGCCTTTGTTTGTTTTTATAGGATCGGATAGGGTCTTCACAAACGCCGTCCATTCAGGATAGATACTATCGACAAGGTAGTACCCCATGTAGTTGTGCCCGTTGAGGGTGTAGTTGCACGGCGAAGCTTCACCATCACAAAGTCTATTGAACAAAGGAAATCGTTGGAGCATATTGATGGCATTGCATGAACCAGGCGTGCCAAAGTAAGCATGCCAATTCTACAAGTCCTTTGATGCCACTGCTTTAGGTATATTGGTGGTTTTTTTGACGTGACCTTGATACAACCCACACAAACTTTTGGGGAGCTTTTTCATTGCCAGTGCATGCAGGGCCGGTCCGGAGATTTCGGGGGCCCGGGGCGGAGCTAGAACATGGGGCCCTTACTATGAATCTCACTTGGGACATTTACATCGGTTTACGTGAATATGTATATATCTATCTTAAGGATGCATATGCTTCTTACAGTATGACAAAAACAATCAAATAAGGCAGCAATGCATACCTTGGCAAGCTTCAACGCATCCTGTGCCTCCTTATTCATGTTTTTCTTGATATTTTTTTTTGCTTTTTGATGAAGCATTAAAACCATCTGGTACATATAATGAGGCCCGTGAGTCAAATTTCATTAACTATATGAGAAAATCATTGAATAGGAAATTCAATAAATTCACTATATTACTTGCATGCAGATCCAAAAACATCATGACCACTTTGATCCTCAAGATCTAAGATGATTTTTTCTATGGAGAAGAATCATATGAATGCCTTTCAGATAATGCCTTTGCAGCATCGCACCAGAATGAACGAATTGATTATCCAGTTAAGCAAACGAGTTCGACACAACTTAGTGGTTAATCCCACTTCAATAGACTCATCCCATGCTCCTAATTTTCATAATCAAACAACAGTACCATGGCTCCTATTTTTGGGATGCAAAGCGAAGATCCTCATAGTGACTACAGGTTTTTCAGCCGGGGGTAAGGAAAAGTGTAAATCTCAAAATCCATATAACCCTACAGGATTCGATCAAAAGGATGCCAAACGATCCTTACCAGAACCTGAAGGCAAGCCTACTGGTAGGGCGTGCTCCTCCTCCGTCGCTGCCCTTTGGGATCTGCCGGCGATGGCTTTGCGGCGATTAGGGAACAGACGGCGTTCTACGCTGGGAGGATTTTAGGGAACGATCGTCAGGCCGTCCGTGTGTAGGGCCAGGCCCAGTATATCCCGCTGCTCTACGGGGCCTGATGTCTGATCCAAGGAAACAACAAAAGTTTCTCCATAAAAAAAGGAAACAGCAAAACATGCGTAGGAAAACGTACGTACTGCTGCTATGGCCTATCACAAACCTGCGTACCCTGGGAGGGGGCCCCTCGATTTTGGGGGCCCGGGGCGGCTGCCCCCCTGCCCCTCCCCAGGGCCGGCCCTGAGTGCATGCAATCAAATGAAGCCAACATACTCGGGAATCCTCTTGATGCTTCAATTGCCAACATTTTTTCTTTGTCCTCCATAGTTGGCTCTCTCAGATGCTCTGGTCCAAACACCTTTACCATAGTGCATGCAAATTGCACTGTAGTGTTCAGAGTCATGGTCTCTCCCATCCAGATTTCAGTACCAATTGCATCTGCAGCCTTAGATAAGCAAGCATCTTGAGAGCAGCCGTGCATTTCTATAGAGGAGAGAAAGAAAGTTGTCCGCAACAACCCTTCCTAACTTGAAGTTGTCAACAAGCTTCTTCATAGCAGTCGCTACGCACAAGAACTAACCTCTGCTCATCTGGAAGGGACGTTGAAAGAAGCCTTCATGGTATGTTGGTTCCATTTAATTTGAAGTAGTCCTTGTACATAAGTCATGCACCGGCAATCCTATCCTGGGGAGTATAGTATGTGCTCCTCTACCTTCTTCATTTCCTTTTGAATGTTCATCATCATCATTTCAACATCTTTGTCGTCTAAATCCGACGAATCGATGAACTTGTTGAATATGAATTCGTCAAGGTCCTTGTTTCCATAGCCGTCTTTCCGTGAGAATCCATCAGTGACCTAGAAATGAACAAAAGAATACAAAACCTGCTCAGACATTTTGTCGAACACATAGACCACGAGGTGTATATCCAGGGGAGTTGGACGTACCGGGGCGGCGTTCGGTGGCAATGTGCGCTACTAATTGTGTATTAGTATTATGGACAAAAAATGTATGTATTTGGATAATACTTGACAATTAATTATTGGCATGAACATGCCCCTTCATCTACTCCCATTCATATTTTTTTTTTCAAAAAGGGGACTCCCCGGCCTCTGCATCAGAACGATGCATACGGCCAACTTATTAAAAAGATAAATAGGTTCCCCATTCATATTTCTCAAAAGCAAAATCTTAACAATTATCAGGTGGAGTATATTCTTTTTCTTAGCGACAAACCCATGGGACATGAGGCGGATCTCAGTACTTGCAAAGTTGCAACGCCTCATCGTGTATTCATGGAGCGTGATCGGATTCAAACAAAACATACTCCGTATCTCCGAACCACAACATTTCGAGAAGAAACTACGATTTGTCGTGCTCGGGTTCCACTGGTTGAGATCATTGCTCGGCCATGGACATATTTTTCTTGCAGCGCGATCTGCATCTGCATGTTCCGGTGGCGACGCTGATTGATTAGAGTAGAGTGCGTGCCTGATTAACTACTAAAACTAACGTAAAGCTTTGTAGTTACCCAGTCAGGGGCCATGTTACTTAACAGTCAAGATTCTTGGCCTAGTAGGCAGTAAATTATGCCCTAATCGTCCGTTTGTTTCTCTCTCAGCTACTCTAGGTATCCCCCGGTCAAAGATCTGTCCTTGCACCATCGTGCTGGCCGAATTAACAATGGGCGCGTTGGATCAAGCGAGGGTTAGCGCATGCTGGCCCGAGATTATCGTGCGCTGGGTGTGGAGCCTGTTAGCATGCGTGTCCCTACTTGGAAGTGTCCTGATAGTTATTCTCCCTTTGCTGCGCCTGTCAGAGCCTGAACCCGGTCAGCCGGCTATGGCGACTCTCTCGGCCACACGAGCATGAACTCGATGGCTGCATCGGCACTGAAATAACATGTGTTGGGGAACGTAGTAATTTTAAAATTTTTTCTACGCACACGCAAGATCATGGTGATGCATAGCAACGAGAGGGGAGAGTGTTGTCCACGTACCCTCGTAGACCTGAAAGTGGAAGCGTTATAATAACGCGGTTGATGTAGTCGTACGTCTTCACGGCCCGACCGATCAAGCACCGAAACTACGGCGCCTCCGAGTTCTAGCACACGTTCAGCTCGATGACGATCCCCGGACTCCGATCCAGCAAAGTGTCGGGGAAGAGTTCCGTCAGCACGACGGCGTGGTGACGATCTTGATGTTCTACCGTCGCAGGGCTTCGCCTAAGCACCGCTACAATATTATCGAGGATTATGATGGAGGGGGACACCGCACACGGCTAAGAGATCTCAAGGATCAATTGTTGTGTCTAGAGGTGCCCCCCTGCCCTCGTATATAAAGGAGCAAGGGGGAGGGGCGGCCGGCCATGATGAGGCGCGCCAGGGAGGAGTCCTACTCCTACCGGGAGTAGGACTCCCTCCTTTTCCTTGTCCAAGTAGGAGAG